AATGTTTAATATAACAACTCTAAATGAAATGTGTAGATGGCAGATTTGTATCACTATTTGGTAAGAAACTGGTCACTTTTGCCTCTGTCACCATTAATTAATGTATAATAAGCAGTTATTAATGATTTATAAAGTGTTTATAGAGGAATTAATAACGTATCTATAAACTATTTATTAGCCATGTAGAAGGGGAGCCTTATTGTAAAGTGGTACCAAAAAATACTTTTCATTAATTAATTCAGGTGACATGAGATCAGCATTCCAACATATCATTAGCTTCTGAACCTTCAGGATTGGCAAACAATAAAAAAATAAATAAAAAACTACCATACAGTTTGATAACAATCAGTTTGTATGTTGCCTCATGGATTTATGTTATGACAATTAAAGAAAAAATCTACAAATGCATATTATATGATACGTTCTGAAGATAGTTTGTGTTTTTAGTATTGTTGCCATAGATAATGCAAAAGAATGATCTTTAGTGAGTTTTGACCAAACAAAAAATTGATTGTGAACATATAAGAAAAAAAAATAAAAATAAAACTCAACAAGGATAACTTTAGGAGCAAGGTGTGCAATGGTTAAGTGTCCAAGGCACCGCATGGATCTGAATGGCATCCCAGTAAGGAGTGGGATAAACCAGAATGAATTACTATCATTGATTATGAGGGAAATTATGTTGTCAAAGTGAAAGAGAGAGCGTCAAACCATTAATTCAAAAACAAATTATTTGAGAAAATGTGTCATAAAACAAGACAATAATTGTAAAACTAAAAAAAAAAAAAAAACACATTTCAGATATAAAACAGTTCAGAACAGAAAAACGGACTGAAATGTCTGTAAGCTGGTGCTGGTCAGTGATTTCTGGGGAAAAAAAAAACATCAGTCAGTGTTTTACATCTAAAATGATACTTTAAATATTTTTAATGAATATATATATTTTAGTTGTTGCTCAGCAGCGCTCTTGGTGATCTCAGCACACTTTGAACAACAGTCCACTTTAAACTCACTACAATCTCCTTTCACAATAATTATTAACAAAGCCCAGATGTTACCATTGATTAAAAAAAAATCAGGGGTTGGAAAAATAATCAAATAAAATGAGTTTTTCTTCAGTCACACTACGTTGCTAGTTGAATATTTTACAAATGTGGTGAAGTAATAGTTTGAAAAAGATTATTCCCTAAATGAAGCTGAAAGCTTGTCTCTTGAATCTTCGTTCCGTCTTTGCATTGTTGAAAGTTTTTCTTTTTCTTTTTAACTTGCAAGTCATTTTCAGGGACAACGAGGACAATTCTAAATACATAAAACTACTTTATGCTTTCTGGTGCGCTGTTGAGTTGAGTGGGTGAAAAAAAAAATCTCAACTGTCCTTGTTTGTCTCAACGAAGCTGAATAAGATCAGAGATGATGTGTGTGTTTGTCCATGTGTTCATGCTGTCGTCGTTATAAAACTCGACAGCTCAACTCGTCAAACAGTACTGTCAGTCTTTAAGTACCAAAACAATCAAACAATATCTCATCTGGTCAGTGTAAATGCTTCTGAAGGTAGAGTAGGGTATAGTTTGTGTGTGTTTGTGTGAATTGTCACTAGGCATGTCGCAATAAACAATAAATCAATTAATCGCATGATAAATGAAAATGATTAACCTCATTTTCATTTACTGTCTTTATCGTTTGTGTCTCTCTCTTTCTACTGAAGACACTGGATGACAAAAAGATCAACTCTGGTGCTCTTCACTGACCCCTACCTTTCTCTTTTCTCTTTAAAATCTGTTTTAACCGTCCAAAATCACGTTTTTGGATCGCAGCTAAGTTGAGAATTTAAGCTACGAGCTAAGCTAACAGGCCAACCTTGGGAATAGACCTCCGTCTTGTCGAGCTCCAAAATTCACAGTTGAAACCTGTGCCTTTGTGTAAAAAGTTGTTTTTCTCTGTAAAAAGAAGCTGAGAACTTGTTTACTGACTTTTTTTATTTTTTATTTAAAGCTTTGTGTGAAAAATGCTATGCTAAAGAGCTCAAACCACCGAGCATCCACCATGTCACCATGTCACGTCAAAGACCCTCTCTCCCATTTTTCTTAAAGAGACACCTGCTCATCTATCCATCCTTTGGTTCAAATAGTCTTATACTCCCATCAGGTGGTCAAAAAAGTTACTACACACCAAACAAATCAACATTTCTTCTAAAATCTGACAATTAATTATTGTTACATTTCAAACAATATTATCGTTTATCGCAATAATTTCTGAGACAATTAATCGCCCAACAAAATTTGTTATTGTCACAGACATAATTGTCACATCAGCTCATTAAAGTATGTCCTTATTTAATGGAAGCAATAAAAAAAAATATGCTGTGACTTTCTTCCAGCCGGTCACTCTAACTTAAACACATTAAAAATAAGTCTGAAATAGTCGCATCATGCTTTCAGTCAAGGCGTACAGTAAATAGGGCAACATCTGTAGTACTGTGGTGAAGTAATTGTTCTGTTCTTCAATTTGCTTTTTGGGGTGACTGTAGCTGAGTGGTTAAAGTGGTAATCATCCACTGGGAAAGTTGGGGGTTCGATTCCACCAGCAGTCACATGATGAAGTGTCCTTGGGCAAAACACTGAACCCCCCAATTGCTACGAATGTGTGTCCCATCAGAGTATGAATGTGAACTAAAGCACTGATTATTTGTATTGATATAATAGAGTGGTGGTGAATGAGGGCACAGATTGTAATTTAAAGTTTTTGGTGTATATCGATAAGATAGAAAGGTGCTATATGAGTACAGTCCATTTACCATTTACTTTTTTAAATATGTCGTCCAAATTGTTAAACATTCCAGTTTATAACAGAAACAACTGTGTATGTATTTGTTTTAATTAGTATCAGTTGCTAAAATAGATTCAGGGTTCATTGTATGCAAAACAACATTGTGATTTTGTAAGTCTTATGGACAAGTTGTGTTGCCTAAGTAGTGAACAGACACGACTCTATGCTTGTGTTTCTTTTATTTCTTCTGTTTCATCATCGGGTGGCAAAGTTGGTAGAGCAGCTGCCTCTCGGTGAGGACGTTGTTGGATCGAACCTCGGCCTGGCATCTTTTCGGATGGTGTTTGCATGTTCTCTCCGTGCACGGGTGGGTTTTATACGGGTACTCCAGTTTCCTCCCACAGACCAAAAACACGCATTGGTAACTCTAAATTGTTTCCATGTTTGAGCGTGTATGTGAATGTTTTGTCTCGTTTGTCTCTGTGTGGCACTGTGATGGACTTGGGACCTGTCCAGGGTGTCCCTCGCCTCTCGCACAGTGAGATATGGACACCAGTGACCCCCACGATCAAAAAGAAAGAAGTGGATAATGGATAAATGAAGATAATATAAAGATAATAAAGATCGTGGATAATGGATGTTTAGTCTTGTTTTTAAAAATACCCTAAAGATGCATCATCTAGGACACACACAAAAATAATCATATCAACAGTATTCTATTTTTTGTTTTATCTTTTCTAAAGTTTTTTTTTTTTTTACTAATAAACAGGGGAAAATGGCTTGGATATTGTTACCCCTACCTACAAAACATCGTTGCTGGCTTTGTAATAGTTTCACTTGCTGACATTATCCAATTTTGTGAATGTTTGTCTTTGTCTCTGTACTTATTTCAACTTTTGAAGCACAGTTACAAGAGAAATTTCACCAATAAATGAAAACCTCACTCTCAAAGAAAGCGCTGCATACTGTCTATTATATTTCCATGCAGCACTTTTGTTGCCTCTGATCATCTCATTTGCATATTGTTGTTGTTTGTGTGAGCATGTTGTCCGTTTACCTGTTGATCTGAATGTGACAGTATGTCTCCTACACACATTTATGTGATTAAAAAAAATGTATGTCATTAAGTAGAATAGTTATAATTGTGGCTATCCATTTCTTTTTCTAATGTCGTTTGTCTTTAGTGGAGAAAAGGTTTTATGTGTCTAAAAAGGCAGGTCAGGGTGTTCTCTTGTGGGAGCACTCTAACAAACACTGGGTCATTTAATATGGTCTGAAAAGCTTCAAATTGAATTTCCTCAATCTCTCTATCATTGTGTTATTCTCAGAGGACAGATAGTCAGAAACGCATTGTTTGTACATACCTTCTTATCGGCGACCGATGGCTTTTCATCTGCAGTCTCACCCTAATTCCTATAAATGGTTTTAGCTTCTAGTTTTGTCCTCACATCAGCAAAAGTATCCCTAAACAAGAGTTCCATTTGATACTTGCCACACAGGTTTAAGAATAGGCAAATTATATAAATCAGTGCATTAAATGATGGGAAATCTTAACTTTTGTCAAACCTTAAAGACTCAACTCATTACTCATTTCTCATTTCACCCTCTATAGTCAGCTTTATTATTATTATTTTATGTTTCCAAGTACATACCACTAGTTTTAAATATGTTTTCAAGTAAATGCAGGTATTAAGAGTTGTGATGAACGTTTAATTTTGGTGGTCTGACGTAGTGTCCGTGAGTTCAGCCAATCCCCATTAGCCATTCAGTTGTGTTGAACATTTAAGCCAGTGCAGATAGTCTAATGATAATGTCTTACATTGAAAATTACTGAACAACTATGGCAAAAGTATTATTATTTTTTTTGTTTTCAGTCCCTATTCAAGTGGTGTTAGAGCTTGGTTTGCATAGCTGATAGTAAGGGAGCCCTTCGGGGTTGGAGTTGGACTCTGCCAGGGCTGCCCGTTGTCACCGATTCTGTTCATAACTTTTATGGACAGAATTTCTCGGTGCAGCCAGGGGGCGGAGGGATTCCGGTTCGGTGGCCTCAGGATTCCATATGTGCTCTTTGCAGATGATGTGTTCCTGTTGGCATCATCATGCCGGGATCTCCAGCTCTCACTGGAGCAGTTTGCAGCCGAGTGTGAAGTGGCTGGGATGAGAATCAGCACCTCCAAATCTGAGGCCAAAGTCCTCAACTGGAAAAGGGTGGATTGCTCTCTTCAGGTCGATGGTGCGGTTCTGCCTCAAGTGCAGGAGTTCAAGTATCTTGGGGTTTTGTCCATGAGTGACGGAAGAATGGAGTGTGAGATTGGCAGATGGATTGGTGCAGCGTCTGCAGTATTGTGGACTCTGTACTGGTCCATTTTGGTGAAGAGGGAGCTGAACTGTAAGGTTAAGCCCTCTGTTTACCGGTTAGTCTACATTCCTACTCTCACCTACAGTCATGAACTCAGGGTAGTGACAGAAAGAAGGTGATTGTGGATTCAGGTGGTTGAAATGAGTTTCCTCCGCAGGGTAGCTGGACTCTCCCTTAGAGATAGGGTAAGAAGTTCAGATATCTGGGAGAGACTCGGAATAGGAGCCAGTTGAGGTGGTTCAGGCATCTGGTAAGGATGCTTCTTACTTTGGGCATGTCCAACTGGGAGGAGACCCTGAGGAATACCCAGGACAAGCTGAAGAGACTACATGTCTCGATTGGCCTGGGAACGCCTAGGGGCCCTCCCAGAAGAGATGGAAGAGGTGGCTGTGGAAAAACATCTGGACCTCCCTGCTCAAGCTGCTGCCCCCATGACCCAACTTCGGAACAAGCAGAAGAGGATGGATGGATGGATGGATGGATGGATGGATGGATGGATGGATGGATACAACTGTTCATATTTATTTATTTATTTCAGTCTTTTTCTGCAGTATTTATAAATAATGAACTTTGAGTGTTTATTATATTTATACAACACAGTAACTTTGTTTGTTTTTATCCACCCCACAGTAAAACCAGACCCCCCAGAGCGAGTGACAGCGACTCCGATCCGCTTTAACCCTCGAAGGCTGGAGGTGTCTTGGCAAAGCCCGGCCACCTGGCCCGACATCGACAGCTTCCCTTTGAAGTACTTCCTTCGTTACCGGCCTCTAATTCGAGAGCAGTGGCAGCATGTGAGTTCTGCTTTGCACGCTTGTGTGAAAAACATTTAACCTCAAAACATTGAATAGTTATCAGTTATTGTTGAATACTATGATCAGTAACAAAATGCAATGAAGACATATATAGAGCAATTTGTTATGATGTACAGAATATTTCAACTTAATTACCATATCAATTGAGAAAAAAAAAAGTACTTTGAAACAAGAACACCACTATCTTCTAATTTCACAATTTTACATTTCTTTCTATTTATTCATTGTCACAAGCAATATGACCAAATGCAATGCACAAAGTAAATAAAACTAAGGGATATTTAAGAAAAAAAAAGTTTTTTTAGGAAGAAAATAATTTCCCAAGGAGATGCTTTTAGTGAAATGATCCCACTAGTTGCTGTTAGGTGGATTCCTGGAAAGACAGACATTATTTCTCAGCTGCTTTGGTGTATGTTACAGTATCCCAGTAATTTGTGTGGTTTTATTTTCCTTTGGGCTTCATATAGTAAAAGCATATGTGTCCACTACAGAATTCATAGGATGAAAGCTTTTTTTTTTTTTTAACCAAGGTCTAACATAGAGTTATTATCCTGCATGTCAATGGTTTTGCTAAGGTGTTGTTTCAAGAGCTTTGGTTACAAATTGTCAACTAAAATCGCACACACAGCGACACAGAGTACAGACCAATATACATTTCAGATTAATTTTCCTTTGACTTTTTTCATGCCTGCATAGACCTTTCTGTGTCTGGTTTAAAATCTGTGGGAAAATATAGGCTGTTTTATTTTTGTGTCATTTGATTATTTGTCAGCACTTTAACTAAAAGGCGTAAACGTATGTGTAATTAGTTAACAGGTCATCATCTTAATGAAGTGACTTTATTATAATAGCTCAATAATAAACATACCAACTAAAAAGGCATTTCAGAGCAGACTGATCTTGTATAAGGTTGTTTTTGCTCACATCAGTATCCATGATGTCTTTCTCACTATGCTTTCATTTCACACACCTATTCAAATCAAATAAAATGTAAAAGACCTCAACAGTTTGTGGCTCAAAGTGATAATTAAACCTGACACACACTGTGAGTTTTTCTTCTCCTCTTACCGGTAATCAATCAATACGTGAACTGAAACATAACCTGAAAGGTGGAAAACCTTAAGTCAATATTTGGACTGGATAAGGATGCATAATTTGAAAATTGCATAAATGCATTTGATGACAGCTGCTCCCTGCACGGTTTTCCATTTTTGGGATGTGCTTTGATGAATGTCTTTGTGGTTCAGGTTTTTGTTTTTGTTTCAGTAAGTGTGGTTTTCTGAAAGGAGAATTTGGCATGTTTTTTTTTTAACACTGTTTTTAAAGTCCAATTATGGTTGTGCTTTTTAACATCCATAAAGGGTAGTTTTGCTTAGTGGTGTGGGATGTGTTTTAAATCACATGGACAATGTTGAGTCTGGGTTATGATTCATTTTGGGGTTTGTGTGTATTCATTTTGTACAAATGCAATATGAGTGAGAGTTATTGCACCACGTTCATGAACGTGCAATACCAAACGAGTGTCAAGGGTCATGATCAAAGGGAAATCTGGGAAACCGTCCAGATGACCCGACTGAACATCGTTGGATTGTATACCTGCATTATTGAGCATTGACTTTGATGGAAATCTCTTTTTTTTTTTGTATTTGAGGTAGTTTGTGATGGAATCTTTGTAAAGAAGGTGTGTTGAAATGGGGAAATAGAACTCAACGCTAAAGTGGTGTGAAACAAGGGTTTGACGATTTCTACAAAATCAACATCTACATATAATCAACATCAGCAACAGCTGTATTTACTGAAGCTTAGGACATGCACATTTATTTATTTATTTTTTTTATACTTGTGCAATTTGGAGACAGTTTCCAAGCATACATTAAGTTTAAGCATAACATGTTTTGTTAAAAACAGGTTTATTACATGCTGTCTACAATTTTATTATCGAACAGTGATTGTGTTTGTTGTTTAACAACAGTGGGGGTTTTTTAGAAGTTGTTGATCACGGGAATAAAGATTTTTCCAACTTTCCAACTTTGCTGAATGCAGACTCCACTAAGCATCTGTGCATAGTTATTTTCTAAAGAGAGGAAATTGATGACTAACCCATAGGGGGGCTGAGATGGCGTAGAGGCAGGGCAGCCGACTCGGGACCCAAAAGTCCCAGGTTCAATCCCCAGTCATTGCACATCTCATGGTGCCTCTGAGCAGCACACCCTATCCCCAAAATGCTCCCTGGGTGCTTCCAATAGCTGTCCACTGCACCACCTGGTGGTGGATGGGTTAATTGCAGAAATCCAACTTCGTCATTGTCTGGGAACATACAATGATGACAATACACATCATTATTATTATACAGTGATCCCTCACTTATCATAGGGGTTGTGTTCAAGAGAGCCCTACGGTAGGTGAAAATCCGTGAAATAGGGGTGTTATATTAATTGTATTATGTATATAGGTTTAAGGCTTTATAAACCCTTCCCACACTCCTTCAGACCTTTCCCACTCTCTTATGAACACTCCATATGCTCTTGAAAACTTTGCAGATGACGATGAAATGAAAGTACAGTACTGCAAAGCATGTGCAGTACACACAATATGAAATACCGGTTTTAAAAATCCTGTAATACAGTAAAGCCGCAAGACGTGAACCGCACTATAGCAAGGGACGACTGAACACGTTCACAAACATAAAATATAAAAGAAAAAATATAAAATGGAGATAATCTCTAATGAAAAAAATATCATAAACAAATGTGTATCAATCACTGTAGATGTTTTTGGTGTACTGGACTGATATTTGAACCTGACTGCTTCAAATGCTGGCAACACTATACTTTGTATTTTAAACATATACTTTTGGTTATGGCGGCTTATGACTGCTTACCACCATTAGAGTGGATGACAGTAATGTTTGTCTGTATTAGCACACTCTTCTAGAAATCACTTGGATTAAAAACTGCCAAACCGTGAAATATTTCATTAGGGAAAGCCTAATGATGCAGCTATAATAAGACACAGAGCATACTGGCCCCCCAATATATTTTTCAATAACCACAGCCTCCGAGGTTAATTGAAGTGGTTATTATTGCTCAGGAATTTACCTTTGATGTGGTTTGACAGCATTGCTGCTCCAGAATGGCTTTCACATGTAGCATTTTGAATCGTGTATGTGTACGGAGGGGGGTTTAGAAATGAAAGCTGTGCTGTGATCAGAGTCATCTTTAGAGGAAACCATCCATCGTCTTGAGGAATGAAGAGATGACGGGCCCAGATACTGGAGAGTGATGGGGAGTCAGACGAATATGGGAAAATGAGGAAAAGTTTTGAAGTAGAGATGAATGGAGTGCATCAGACAAGCCGAAGGGGCGTTAATGAATAGCAGACTCATGTAGATGCTCCAAATGAAACAAGCAGACCATATACATGACACTCTCAATGTCATAAATATACATGTGAACTTTTGACAAGGACAAAGGTGACATGAATACTATATATGGCAGAATCCACATTTGAACTGAAATAAAGCTCCAAAAAAAAGAGCCTAAGTCTGAGATCATATTACCTGAAAACATGACAGTGAGAGAAATGTGGAGAAGAAAAACAAAACCTGACACATGGACATCAGTGTGAACAGACGTACATAGCAACATTGGTGCCAGACAGATAATGGATGTGAGAGACGAAGAACAGAAAAGCTCAAAAAGCCGTTTTAAAATACATTTATTTAGGCTGTTGGAAGATGTTGCTAATCGAGGAAGATATTTGAATAATTTAAGGATAGAAAAAATAAATAAAATACATTTAAATATGTAAAATACATAGTGACCATTGTAACAAAATTACTTGTTTACCTACAAGTACTTATCATTTTAAATTACAGAAGGTTATGTACTATTTATCTGTTACGAAAAAGATTTGCAATAATGGTCATTTTCTTATATCACTAAATGCACATAAGTCAAACAAACATTTGCAAATGTTAAAAATTGTGAATAAAATATAAATCCCTGATCTAGTGGAAGGAAGATGAGCTGTTTGCTAATCTTCTTGTTTAACCGTTTCTAACCTGAAGCAGCTTTTAAAGAATTTATGAGAAAAGAACAAAAGTGAAGAGAACCGCTGCTCCAATTTAACAACATACATATAACATAAAGGCTATAATGAATTATGGATAATAAACATAATTTATACTAGAAAGCATGGTTAGTGGTCTAATTAGTTTTTTTTTTTTTAAATGCCCTCCCCTGTATCACTATGTAACACATTGTTTTCATAACATGTATATTATAGGAAGTTGCCAAATCGGTTTATTGTTTCATAAATTGACGGTGCTTCTGAAAAGAATCATGTTTCTTTTTTTACTTAGTGAGTATAAGTGGTCATCTATCTGATGTTAGCATCCCTGTAGCTGTGTCATACTAATCTGAACAGTCATTCAAACATAAGTGGATATTAGTGTGTAAAATCAGCTTCTCAGTAACAGCCAATGTTACGTTACTGCGACTAACATCCTTCTGTTTTAAATATAATTAAGATAGATTAACATTTTTTTAAAGTTTAATCAGCAATTAAATCTGCTACAGGTGAGATTAACAAAGCAATCACAATGTACATGTAAAACTTGTTAGCATTTCCAAGTTCTGAATGGTCTTGTCCCTACAGAATACATTCAAAAGATTTATGTTGGGAGAAAAAAAAAAAATCAAAACATTATTATGTATCTGTGTTATTTCCTACATGTATCAGTGCTCCTGAGAAGTGGACAATTCACCACCACAGCTCTTTTGGTATCCCCATTCTGTCTGCCATGTCTGCTGCTACTTTAATTTATCTTTTATTCAGCTGTTCTGCCATCGGAATGGCACTTTGTACTTAAGTAGATAATTAAAACAATTAAAGGAAATGAATTGGTCCAACTTTTTTTTATCTTTACCATATACATACACACACACACATATACATACAAATATATACATACATAT